TCTCTAATGAGCATCGCTTCAACATGCTGCTGCGTTTTGCGTCTGCGTCTGCGTCTGCGTGGAGCGTGCGAGACGGGGCGATACGCCAGGGCGTGGCGTCGATCGTCGATCGGCTCTCGCGCTGGTAGGTTACCTATGAGAGAGTCATCATATCATGCGCGACTTGCTTCTCGTCGTTTGGAAAAGATCATGATGATTGATGGTTAGGCAAGGTTCATGCAGGTGAGTGCGTGGTGTGCGTGCGTGCGTGCGTGCGTGAACAAAGGCGACAGTTGAAGTCGAGAAGAGTGCAGATAGATAAATAGGGCGAGGTGGACAGAGCAGGAGAAGGAGACCACAAAGATGCAACCTTCAACTCGTGCGTGTTCAAACGATGCACCTGTCGGACAGGGCATCATCGGCATGGGGCAGATCGGACAATGTTCTCTTAAACTCCAAATCACCTCCAGTGATGCGTGTGAGCCAGGGCCAAGCTCCACGTCTAGCAGTCCATTTCCACAGATCGACAAAGAGCAGAAACAGGACGACACCAACCACGGTGGCTGCCCAGCCTCTGCCCATGGGTGCTTGCTTCAAAATGTCGTTCCAGCCAGGCACGTATAGACAGATGGGCAGAGCGATGACCGCTGCTCCAATCACCGTCCAGGTCAGGAAGGGATTAGACTTGAGTCGTTGAAGAGTGCCTCGTTCGAAAAGGCTTCTCTCCACGCTCAGCAGCTCCCACGCAATGAGCAGGGACTGAAGGAAGAGCGTGGTAAAGGTGGCCGAGCGTGCTTCGAATACACCGTCGCAAATGTCGCTTGGTGTCTCGTTGCAGTGGATGCCCAATTGTCCTTGTCCGAAGCCGTAAATCATGGCGAAAAAGACGGCCAGATCCAATAGTCCCATGACTGTGCCATATACAAAGAGGTCGACGAGCACCTGACGACTGAACACGCCAGTCTTTTGAGGAGGTCGGCGCATCGTGTCCGCTTCAGGGTGTTCAAAGCCCAGTCCGATGGCGGGAAGTCCGACGATGAGGTTCAGCAAAAGGATGGACAAGGGTGAGAGGGGAAAGATGCTTTCTGGTTCGGGAGAATCGTCTCGCAGTGCCAGACCGATGAGCAGCAGGAGCGTCTCTGCAACGTTGAGGCAGAGCAAGGCGATCATGAACTTTTGAATGGACTTGAACACGGTTCGTCCCTGCTTGATGCCCGTCGTGAGACTCGCAAAATTATCGTCGGTGATGATGAGCTCGGCGCTATCCTTTGCAATGTCCGTTCCAGATCCCATGGCCACGCCAACGTCGGCTTGCGTTAAAGCTGGAGCATCGTTGACTCCATCTCCCGTCATGGCCATCCGAAGACCGCGACGACGCGCAGCGTTGATGATCCTCACCTTGGTTGCAGGAGTGCAGCGAGCCACAACCAGCGGCAACGAGGGCAGAGCATCGATGGCGGCCTCGTCTAGCTTGTCGAATTGAGCAGCCGTCATGACCGCGCTGGCGGGGGCATCAGGCTTGAGGATGCCGACGGAAAGCGCAATCGCTTTTGCTGTAGCAGGGTGGTCACCGGTTGCGCAAATGACCATTACGCCAGCTTGGTGGCAAACAGCAACAGCATCTGCGGTCTCGGGTCGAGGTGGATCGTAGAGAGCTGCGAGCCCGACAAAGGTAAAGTCTTGCTCCGCTTCTTTGCGCGACATGAGCTCGCGTCGAGCTTCCAAGCTTTGCTTCTCTGGATCGGCGCGCGAAACTCGCTCTTTGCTGACTTTGCGCTGGGCAAAGGCGAGCACTCGAAGACCTTGCGCTGCCATCTTTTCCATGGTTTTGTTGATCAGAGCACGCTTCTTCTCGTCAAGAGCGACGATGCTGCCGTGCTCGTCGAGCCGAATACTGGTGCAAGTGTCGAGCACTTGGTCTACGCCACCCTTCATGAAGAGCGTGTAGCTCGCAGCATCAGAAGCCAGGCTGTACATGGATGTCATTCTCTTGGTGGAAGAGTCGAAGGGATGTTCTTGTTCCAGTGTATAGGCAGGCGAGTCGCCCTCCGTGAGCGATGGGCGACCGGTCGCAAGCTTGTGAGCGAGCACCTGCAGAGCGAGTTCCGTGGGATCTCCTCGGCCTGACCATTTTCCGTCTGAGGCTTGGTGAATCTCAGCGATGTTGCAGAGACTTGCAGCGAGAACCAGGGTGGAGACTTCCGTCGGTGTACCGTCGAGAGTGATGTTGGCCATGTCCGCTTTTCCGACCGAGTCTGGCGAAGATAAGCGATGGATGCTTCCGACAGGTTCCAGAGCAGTAGCGCCGGTGTGATCAATAGAGAAGCTTGTGCCGGAGTTCGAGCAGGGCGCCCAGAGTTCTCGGACCACCATCGAGCCAAGGGTCAGGGTTCCAGTCTTGTCCGAGCAGACGCAGTCCACACCACCAAGAGCTTCAAGCGCCTCGAGGCGACGGACAATGACACCGCCTTGGGCCATGCGCTTGGCACCAGCGGCAAAGGTGATGGCGAGCACGGCCAACAAGCTTTCTGGCAGGACACCGATGGCGAGCGCGACAGCGTACAGAATGACTTGATCGTTGAGGTCGAAAGTGGCCACGGCGAATACGATGATGATGCAGAGGATGGCCAGGGCCAAGAGGACCAGGGCGAACCAAGCCAGCTTGCGTTGGAGGGGCGTTCCATCACGAAGGCCAAGGAAGCGAGAGACGACGATCCAGGCGCGCTTGTAAAAGGGAAGCGCGCTGTTGGCTGCCTTGCGCTCGGCCCTGGAATCCATCGCGGCCGCAATCGTGCCGAGTTGCGTGTCACCAGCGACAGCCACCACCACACCTCGTCCACGACCCTTGGTGACGACCGTACCGGCGTAGCCCAGATTGATGCGGTCTGCAGGGCCGAGATCCTTGCCGTCCAGCGCATCGAGCACTTTGGCGACAGGCAAGCTCTCTCCAGTCAGAGATGCCTCGTCGATTTCCAAATTGGACATTGGCTCAATGAGCCGGACATCAGCAGGAAGCAGATCGCCAGTGACAAAGACGATGATGTCGCCGAGCACAAGGTCGCGCGCGGGTAGCTCTACGATGCGAGAGTCGCGCAGTACTTGAGCGGTTGGGGCGCTGAGCGAGCGAAGAGACGCCATGGTCTTCTCCGCCTTGTACTCCTGGATGAAGCCGATCAGCGTGTTGATCAGGATGACGGCGGCGACGACTGCACCTTCTACCCAGTCTCTGACACCAAAGGACAGCGCCATGGCGGCGAGCAAGATGATGGTGAGAGCGTTTGCCACTTGGCGGATCAAGATATCGAGCACCGAGACACCTTTGGCTTCGCGAATCGTGTTTGGACCGTCGCGAGCCAGCCGATCTGTTGCATCAGCGCTCGAAAGACCAGTGGTCGGGTTGGATTTGAGATGAGCGAGGCAGTCGTCGAATGTCAGTGTATGCGGTTGCAGCACACTAGGCGTGGCTGTCGAGGAGGCAACCGAACCACGGTCATCAGCGCCGCGATGCTTGAGCTGAGCTTCAAGGTCGATGGGGCCTTGCTTGTCGTGACCGACAATGAAGGTGGCGACGGGAGAAGAAGCGCCAGAGCTGGTGGCGGTGAGGCCCGTCTTGGATTCAAGGGTGAGCGATCTGCTGCGAGGGTGGCCGCCTTGCTGTTCTTGAGGCAGAACAGCTCCTGCGGGTTGGGTTGGTTGCGGTGCATCGTGACGTGAGCCACTATCGGGTGGTTCTGGCTCATCGTCGGCGCGTGGTCCATCGAGAGAGGGCTGCGAGGAGCGAGGTTGAGCGCCACCTCCCCCAGTGCTGAGGGCAGGGTGACCATTTTGATGTTCCTTGCCACCGTTCTTGTCCATGCGTTGGCTGATGTATTGGCGCGAGGCAGTCGCGCTGAGGATGCTTGAAGGTCGCTGTCAACGAGCTGTCGACGGCGGCGAGGGCAGAGTAAGGGTAGTGGAGGGTGTGCAAGGGCAAGAGCGCTAGGGAGATTGGCAAGCTCTTATGTAGATGAGATGAGGCTGGGTCGAAGATTATGGAACACGTCACACGAGCGACAGCGTGTCGAAGCTGGACTCGTGACTTGGAGGTGGGCGAGGGGGTGGGTCAGGGGAAAAGCCAGCAGTGCGGCGTGGATGTGCTCCCTTTTGAGGCTGTGCCAAGGAGCCGCATTCGCATGCGTGGTAGCGCTTTCCAAGCTGGTGCATGCTCACTCACGCCATGCTGACAGGGAGAGAGAGAGAGAGAGAGGGAGCCCGCTTCTCCTCAACAGCGAAGAGGGCTCGCATGCCTGGTATGCGTGGCTGCCTGCTTTCTGCAGCATACTGAAACACCGAATCAGTGCTTACACTCGCCCAGTGCTCTCAGAGATAAATAGGTGCTCTCGCGTCGTGTGATGCGGCCACATGACGTTCCTGATGGTCTTCGCCGTGACTCTCTCGTGCCTGCCTGCTTGCTTGCTTGCTTGCTTGCTTCTCCACAAGCTGGCTGATCAAGGGTCCATCGATGCTCATGCTCTCCCTCCCTCCCTTCAGGCCAATCACTGAATGTGAATGTGAATGAATGGTCATCATGCAGTCCGCGCCCTGGTCTGCTCTGGTGTTTGCGTGAGGCGACGACGAGGCTGCTCAGAAGTGCGCGCAAACGTCACTTCTTGGCAACCAGGCGTGCTCACCCGCGACCATACGTTCAGTCGGCGTGCATCACTATGGGTGCTGGGCGAAGTGAGGGGCAGGGCATGGCAGGGCTGAGCTGGGCAGGGCAGGGCTGGGCAGGGCAGGGCAGGATTACCGGATCTCTCGTCGGTTGATGAGGCTTGAATCAGTCGCGAGGCGTGGCCAGGCGGCGATGATGGACTGGCGATGTGCCCCAATCAAGTTTCGAGTCAGCAAGCGCAAGAGTCAGCAGAGGCGTGAGTCACGGGTGATAGGTGGTGAGGCACAGCACGGCACGGCACGTCAGCCAGCGAAACGTGAAGATGCCAAAGCACCATCACCGCATGCATGCATGTAAGATGGGAAGGAAGCAGGGGCGCGGTCAACATGAAGGATGCCAAGACTTGCGGAGATCGAGTGCGCTCCAACACGATCAAGCGCATCCTATCGACTAGTCGAGAATATTCTACCGCAGACACGTGGGTGCAGGTGCGAGATGACGACACAAGCTAGCCGTTTGCGGTGAAGCAGGCAGCGAGCGAGCGAGCGATCGAACGGGCACTACGACTACGGGAGCGTGACGGATCGCGCCCGAGCTGGCCCGGCGGGCGAGCGGGCGAGCGGGCGAGCGGTCTGGCGGGTCTGGTCTGTGCTCTTCTCGTCACGGCCCACAAGCACGAGTCAAGAGTCGGCATCCAACTCGACTCACACCGACGTGTACAGTACACTGTACAGCGACTTGTGGCTTCTTCGCGGTGCAGATCGAGGCGTGGATCGCACAACAGGAGCAGCGTGCTCTTTTACAACACACCTTTACCAGCTCAACTCACCCCTGGCCAACACCATCACAATCTGGTCAATCTCAACTGTCAGCAGCGTTGCGTTGCGCACCCACAGGAGACGAAGTGCAAGCTCTGGATCATGTCCGCCCAATCACCCGCACCCACTCCTCGCGTCCCTTCCGAGGACATTATCAGTCAAAAGGTCAGTCAGTCTCTGCGACTTGTCAAGGTCTGCTTGCTTGCCATAGAGGAGCAGAGGCGAGCTGCCAGTCTGGAAAGCGATTTGCCTGTCACCTGTATGCTCTTCCCCCCCATCACTGACTGCTCCTGCCTCACGCATTCACAGACTGATCTTTGCCTCAGCAATGCAATTCTCAAGACCGGCATCGGCTTCAGCGTAGGCGTGGTCACCTCTGTCATCCTCTTTAGGCGTGAGTGGCATGGACAGGAGTAGCATGCTGGGGGCGCATATACTGCGCTGGCGTCGTTGCACAGCGCGTAGCTGGTGTGAAGCTTGCTTGGGATGAGCGGTAGGGCAGCGCAAACAGAGGAGGTCTTGCAGGCACGGTCGCGGCCAGGTGAAGCTGAGCAGAGACAGGGTGCCGCAGTTAGGCGACGCATGCGGTTGACTGAACGATCTGTGCGAGTGACGGCAGCTGAGATCACGCGGTCCAAGATGGAGTCCATGCATCGACCACCTGGCCTAGCCAGACTCTACTCGCGACATCGACCTGCCAGCGAGCCTCGATGGCTGACATTGCCTGCATCTGTTCAAAACAACGACTCCTCATCATCAAGGTCGCGCATTCCCCGTCTGGCTGGCCACAGGTTTCGGCGCAGGTCAAGGCTACACGGATTGCCAAAGGTCCTTTTCGCCCGTCGCAGTCCCTGGCGTTCGAGTGGTTCAAGATGGCACCTCATCCGGCATTAGCTCAGCACCCGCCACCACTCTGGAGAGATTGTCTCAACGGGCAGGAGAAGCTTTGAGCGTGGCCAAAAAGGAAGGTTCTCAGAAGTTTGGAGAATTGAAACAGAGCGCAGAGGCGGCCAAGGACAAGGCCAACGATAAGGTGCGACAGGTTTGATTGCCTCGATTTGTCTGCCCCACACCCCTTCTCAGAGTGCACTTCTGTGTGAGGAGGGGAGGAAGGGAGCGAAATGCAAGGCAGTCCAAGCTCTGAATGGCATGTGAAACTTTTGGCTGGGCAGTAGGCATGGCACGACAGACATGCGCCTTGCTAGATGCGTGAAGAAGAGGCAGCCTTTGCACGCTCCAGACCAGGCTCATGCTCTGCCGTTCCCTCGCTTTTCTCTGCGCAACAATCACAAAACGACCGCCCTCGTCTTGGCGAGTCGCTTGCACAGACATCCACGCGCGGTCCACTGATCAGTTCAGCGCTAGAACTGCACGAGGCGAAGCCATCAGAAGCCAGAGCATCGACTGCATCCGTACAGGATTGTCAAGCGTGCAGATTGACGGGCACCTTGACGCTCCTTGTGCTAGGAGCGTACGCTTTCAAGGAAGCTCACGTCCAAGGCGCGTTCAAGAGACTGGGGACCATACGTGCTGAGCGCGCAACGCAGGGCAAGACGAGGTTGCCCTTGCCCAGATTGCCAGGGCTGAGAGGATTTGCGCTCTCGCTGTTTGGTGTTTCAGCTTGGGCTGCCGCTGCTTACAGATATTCCATTTGATTGGATCAAGAGGCGAGGTGCGAGCCAGCTCGAGCGGGTTCTGAGCTTGAGCTCGAAAGTGTAGATGCTTTGCGTTCGTCCAATCATTCTGCACGCATCCCACGCGGTCATCTAGTCAACCCCTTGCTTTTCGGACCACGCTCGACGCTTCTCATTCTAGTATTGCACTGTGTGTGCATCGCTTTTCTTGAATATGGTGACTGAGTGCTGGCGCTCTGGGCGAGCGCCAGGACCTGTTCAAGCAGCCCCTCTGAAGAAGCGATTGGGGACCCAAGGCATCTTCACGACTTCAGCTTCTCTCAGCTTCTTTCTCACTTCCACGCGCACTGGTTGGAGGGGAGTTGGTCGCAATCCAGACATGTATGCGTGAACGACAGCATGCCAACACAAGGTGCGCACGATGCGTCTGCACTCACATTTTGTGCCCTTTTTGTGCTGGCCATTCTGCACCAAGGCCATCGCGATGTTTTGTCCCGTCGTGGGGGAGGGGATGCCAGACGTGACGACGCCTGAGAGGCGGAAAAGGGAAAGAATTACTACCGAGCTCGGGGGGAACGTGATGCACTTCACTCACCAATCGGCACATCTCCGACACCATCAAAGATAGGCGCGCCCTCTGCGCAGTATGGCCGTCACGTTAGGCGAAGCGTCACCTTGTACAAGCCGCGTTCGAGCCCACTCACCCCTCGCTGGAGCGCCTTCAATCACGAGACCAACTCTACGCCTTGGTGGTCCCTCTTTGAGCTCTTTCAAGATGCGCTCAGCGCCTGGAAAGTCTGCAGCCTGTCTTCTATCCTTGGCTGAGCAGGCAGGGGCAACGCAAGTCGCCGTGAGCCCAGTGTTGTCATCATAGGTCTGCCCTTCAGAAGACGCTGCTGCTGCTACTCACACACGACCCAAGCAAGAGCGCCTTCTATAGGGCTCACAGTCTCGTCCAGATCGTGCCCGTACAGACACATTCCAGCTTCCAAACGAAGACTGTCTCGAGCGGCCAAGCCCGCCAGCTGCGTCGGTGCAGTGTTCAGAAGCGCTTGGGTGACCGAAACGGTGCGCTCAGGCGGGATGGAGATCTGAAGAGTGGGCTCAAATATTCAGCATCTAACGAGCATCTCATCGTACCCTGACACCCTCACCTCGAAACCGTCTTCCCCCGTATACCCTCCCCGGGCAATGTGACACTCGGCACCCGCGACTTTGGCGTGCACGCTTCGTCCAAACGTCAGGCTGTTCAGGTCCGCATCGGTGTGCTGGCTAAGCACGCTGACGCTCTCCGGTCCTTAGTAGGCACGCAGCGGGGACGGCCGGGTGAGCAGCATGACGCATTCTGCGTCGACGCGCTTCACGCACCTTGCAGAGCTACTAGACCCCAGCCTTCCAGCAACTCGTGCTCGACCTGTCCGCCCGTCCATGCTTGCAGCTTTTGCTTGAACAGGGACAAATCTTCCTGTCTACGCCCAGCATTGGTCACGACGTACCAGGCATCCTCCGCGTGCTTGGTGATGACCGTATCATCGATGATGCCTCCATTGTCGTTCAACAAGACGGACAATGTGCTGCTGAAGTTGTCCAGAGAGGCGAGGGATGTGGGAACGAGGGAGGAGAGAAAGGCGAGGGATCCTGCGCCGGAGAAGCTGTCAGGTGGAGGGCAGAGTCTGTGGGAGTGAGTCGTGCGACGTCGCTTCCTCTTGACAGCGACATTGAGCTTACCGATGCTGGACCATGTGACCAACGTCGAACAGTCCTGCGGCGCTGCGAACGTGCTTGTGGCTTGCGACTGGGAGGGAGGGAAAGGAAGTCAGATTGTAGCGCAGGAATAGTCAGCGTGAGATTTTTGACGCGGCACGACTATCGTAGCTTCCCCTCCTCGGCTCACCTTGGCCCACACTGCCATACGTCAAGGGCATGTCGTAGCCCGCGAATGGGACCATCTTGCCCGCATTCTCGACATGAAACTCGTACAATCCCGTTCTGCCTCTACTCGCGTTCGGTCTGCTTGCATGGAATGCCCTCGCGCTTGGACGCGGCGCTTGAGCACGCCCCACAGCACATGCTCGCCTTGGCTGTTGACCCGGCAAGACGAGATGCGTGGGTGTGATCGCGCTGATGGCAATTCCCTGCCTGCCAAACTGACACCGCCCTGCGGATAGACTGGCTGGAAGGGACAATGCCATGCTTGCGTCAACGATGAGCTGTATTTGCGATGATTGCGCCCGCGTGTCCGCGAAGATCTTGATCGAGGTGATCGATGCCGTCGGCCGTACAGTGGAAGTGAGGGTCAGATGTGGAAGGGAAGCGTGACCAGTGTGTGAGTTGGTCGCTCGCATGGTGCTGCATGGCCGGGTGGAGCGTGCGCGCTTAGCACGTCCTCTTTCGCCCACGCCCTCCAAGATCACCCTCTTCCATTTCATTTACCGCGTACCGGGGCGTCTGCCGAACTTGGACATGTTCATCACGTGACACAGGAGGGAATATATTCACGTGATTCATGATTGACTCTTTGCCGGCGTAGTACATCAGTCAGTCCTCGAGTCCGAGTCAAACAAACGTCGCGAGTCTTGAATCGAGTCGTGCTAGTGACTTAATAAATCCCCGCACGGTGCAACTCGATGAAAGCGTTGCAGCAGGCGGTACAGCACTGGTCGCGGTTGACGATGCGGGTCTCGCTCACGCGTCTCAGCTTTCACATCACACAGCAGCCTCGCGCGTGCGCGGGTGAGTGAGTGCAGGTGCAGCACATGCGTCCAACAATTTGAATCACTACACCAGCATGCAGTGGTGGTGTTTCCGTGTTTCACTCCAAGGGTTTGCGTGCTGCATCGCAACAAATTCCGCTGCCTTGGAGCAGAGCAGAGCAGAGCAGCACGTACCTCGCGCTGCTGATGAGGTGCTGCCACTCTTCCGCTCCCGCGCGCATGCACCCTGATTCTCTCTTGGAAGCTCATCGCGCATCCAACGAGCCATGCTGCAGCACTAGGCAGCATGCAGATGCAGCTAGCTACAGTCAAAGTAGCTACCACCGTCAGCAGGGTTCGGCTGCGTCAAGTCTCACCCAGTATGAGTCTCAACAGGCACAGACAAGGTCTCACCCACTGCGCTCGGCAAACTTGCAAAGTGTATGAGATCACGGCCGGCCCAGACATGTACAGTAGCTGCTGGATATATGCTGCCGCGCATCACACTACTCACATCTTAAAATTCTGGGAAGGAATACCAAAGTGCGAATCACGAAAATCTCAAGTGAAAGGTAGGCAGGGCAGGGATGGGCGCGCGCCGCTCCGCAGTCCATCGAAATCCTCAGCACTCGTGACTGCGTGACTTTGACTGCAGGCATGCCAAGCGGGGTCCGTGAGTCGGATGCAAATTTGTGCACAGGGACTACAGTACCGTCAAGAGTACATGCCGTGCCGTAACCTGGGCCAGCGCTAGGCACTCGCTTCCCCGCAAGCTGCGCAAGAGGACGAAGACGGATAGGTACAAAATAGCGCAAGTAATTTGAGGCCTTGTTGCATCACTACCTCGATCATGAACCCCGCATTCGCTTTCACAAGTCCATTCCATCCTTGCGGTACACGCACGACACCCAAACTTTCTTGTCTGCTTGCACGCGTGCGTCCAACTCTCGCTCTCTCACTCGCTCATTCATCTGCGCATTTACCCTACTCGCCCCACAGACATCGGTGCACCTTCTTTGTCATCTTGCTCGTCATCCTCCCAACCCTCTGCACCGAGCCTCTGTCCCTACCGCCTCGATTTCCTCGTCCACTTGATTGCCCCTATTCCATCTACTGACGCTCGAATTGCCGAGCTCCTGATAGACGTGCACAAACACAACCTTCAAAAGCACCGTGCTCGCAAAGCCGCTTCCCTTAAGTAAGCCCGGCTTCCTTCCACACACACAACTCGGCCAGCTTCCACAGACCCATTCACGAAACATCATGCCGTCCAAACTCTCTCTCCTGCGTGCGGCCGCAGCGGGGGTCGCGCTATCGTGCGCTGCTCTAGCCTCTTCGGTCTCGGCTGCCAACGTCATGCCTCACGAACGCGCGTCAGCTTTGACCAGCAGAGCAGATTGCGGCACGTACACCATTATTTCTACACGCGGTACGGGCGAGATACAAGGGCCATCGATCGCATTCGCCAACATGATTCGCCAGACGCTGGCAAACGTCACGGGTGGCGTCGAGTACGACACGCAGTACGCAGCGGACATTTCCCAGCTTAGCGAAGCTGGTACACGAGATGTCCTCAACAAGATCAACACGTTGCTTCAGCAGTGTCCAGGCCACAAGTTCGCTCTTCTAGGCTACAGTCAAGGAGCGACAGTGACGACGGAAGCGCTGACCAGGATACCGAACAACAGCGACGCGTTCAAGGCCGTCGTGGCGGTGGTGACGGTGGGCAATCCTAGACACAACAAGAATTTGCAGTCCAACTTTGATACGGATGGTGGCAAATCTACGGCGCAGGGCTTCGGTCTGCTATCCTACCTGCCACCCATTCCCGGTTACTGGGACAAGAGCGGCAAGGTTTTGGACGTTTGTGCTCATGGGGATGGCGTTTGCGATGTGACGAGCGGAATCGGCGTCGGACCCGCTCACTTTCTGTACACCACCAGTCAATTCACCCAAGATAGGTCCACGGAGATGATGACCGCTGGATTCAGGGACGGGGAAGCAAACTCCACGAGCCCGACTGGAAACAATGGAGGCAACAACGGCAGCGACAATGGAGGAAGCGGCGGCAACTCGGATGCGGCCACTCACCTCTCTTCCGATGCTTCTCGACACGCCACACTTCTCGTCGCTGGTCTATTGGCTATTGGCCTCTCCACCTTCTGAGCACCTGGTCCGCCTTGGACACTCGGGCGGCCAAGCGACGCGCACATGCAAGCACATTCACAATCTTCGACTCCGACTGTATTTCTAAACAGCTTTCGCAGCTTTTCACTCTTCATCCTTTTCCCCCTCCCCCAAGAATCATTCCGCCTCTCGCTCGTCTCTTGCCCGCTTCGTCTACTCCATCAAGCGCCTTGTGGAGCGTCAGTACTATGGCCAACGTAATACACGCATGACTGCATCGTGCCAATGAGAGTCGTAGCAGTGTGCACGCGCTGCTTGTGCGTTGATGATGGCGAGTCAGTCACCCATACGCTTTGCAAAGTGAGGCGCTCTGACTGCACTCGACGGCCAGAGGGATGTGCAGCGCGGGCAGTACCGAATGTGAGCAGGCTGATGGAGGTATGGTGTCTGTCTGCGTTGCAGCATTGCATCCTCCCTGATGCACATCGTCCACAGCGAGCTGGATTCTGTGCGTTTGATAGCACATTTCAGGAATGCGCACAATGCTAGCGTGAAGGGGACTTTAGATTCGAAGTGGTCCAGGACGGCTGTGCAAGCTCGCTGGCGTAAAGTGATTGTAACTTCACGTGATTATCCGTGATTGGATTCTCGCGGCTATCGTGGGCATCACGTGACTTGATCGATTCTTCCCATCTTTCTGCGCGCGTGCGCTACCTGAATGCCCTCTTGACTCGAGACTGGGGGCAGGTCTTGCTTGAATTAAACTCCACCACTTTCTTCCTTTTCAGCACCGTGACTCTGACTGCAGCCCTGCGTGCAGGAGGTTCCGAAACTGCCTTCTCCCACGCCCAGCATCCAATGCATACTAGCACCGAATCTCAGCAGACACACTCATCTCGGCACAGCCTCTGGGCTACCTCTTTGACCACCGACCTGCATCAACAATCATGTCCGTGGCCAACAATCTGCTCGGCAGCGCAAGGAGCGTGCTGAGGGCATCCAGATGCGCGCTGCCAGCCTGCCCCTCCACCTCCTCCACCACCACCTCCCCCCATCCCTCGTTGCACAGCCCTTTGCGCGCTTGGAGCGTCACGGTGAGAGGCATGGGATTGCACAATGCGCCCAAAAGACCGATACAGGCTGGACACGATGACCCTCAGATTGGCGCTTCAGCATCGGCATCAACACCCAACGCTTCCTCGAAGCCTTCCGCATCCGATCCAATCGCCCCGAGCACTGCCACGCAGTCTACCGACTTTACCTCCCATCCACCTCCCGCAGCGCCTTTGGCCACTCCGCACGATCGACAGCGGCCCGAGGCGAACTTTGCGCCTGGGCTGCAAAGAGGAGACTTTGGCGATTCGGTCAGCAGAAAGGCTGCCGAGGCGGATAAGCAGCCTTTGCCCTTTCTAGCTACTGCGCTGGGTGTGCTGAAGAGGCCCTCGACTGCGCCGCTCACGAGGGAGGAGAAGAGGGAGCGCTTTGTGGATCAGGATCGCAGGATGGCCAAGCGGCGAGCCATGTGAGTAGAGTGCTCGCTGCAGCAAAGGCGAACAGGAGTGCACTGCACTGCACTGCAGCGCCCAAGTGGTCCCTCATACATGCTCGCTCATCCAAGAATCCCGCTCTTGTGGACTCGCTTCACAGTGTCAAGGAAGCTACGAGAGGCTACTTTAACGACTTTCATGCCACACGGTCTCACGGAGGCAAGACGTGGAGAGCACCTGGCACGATGATCAAGCATGATGTGAGTGCACGAACAAAATGGACGGAATGACGGCGCGTGCGCATGCGCATGGACATCGAGAAAGGGCAACGCGTTGCAAGAGCACTCTGGAGAGCGACCCGTCGCCCTCTCTCAGCTCCTTGAAACTTCGCCTCCTCCTGCGCGACTCACCCCGCTTCTTTCGTCCCCTTTCTTGACCTTTCCCCTTCAGCGCTCACTCTACTTTCCCGGTATATCGGGCACATGCCTGGCAGACAGGTCTACAAAGTCGACGACGGACATGCTTCAGGGCAAAGTGTCCATCGTCTCACTCATCAGCAGCACCATTTCCGAACAACACACCAAGAGCTTCAACAGCGAGACTCTGCAAGTTTACGAGAATCACCCGAGCTTTCAGCTGGTGCAGGTGAGCGGGCTTGGTGTTGGAGCAGGGCGAAACAAGCTTGCCACGTGCTAGGCCAGGCTTGGTGCAGCTACATCTAGTCTACCGCCCTTTGTCGCTGCGCATGGATGCTGACCGCTGAGCGCTCATCTCTATCCCGGCGAGCACAGGTGAATTTGCAAGAGAATGCCTTGAAGATGTACCTCGTCTCCCTCTTCTTGTCCAACCTGCGCCGACAGACGCCAGCCTCGCAGCACGGCTCCTACATCTTGTCTCGTCAGAACATGGAGCTGGAGAGGGATGCGATGGGTCTGCACAACAAGCACGTCGGCTACACCTACCTCGTCGGACCGGATCTCAAGATACGCTGGGCTGGCTGCGGCTTTGCGGAGGAGGAGGAGAGCAGAGCGCTTTTGAATTGCACTGCAGTGTTGCTGAGAAGAGCTGAGGAGGCGAAGAAGGAGAAGGCCTCTGCGTAAGGAAGTACTCGTACACCTCACCAACCTTGTCGGCGATGATGCGGCGAATCGATGCAAGACGAGACGAGACGAGACGGTCATGTCCAGCTGCAAGCAGTTCCCGGCAATGCAATCGCTCGAGCTTGCGCTGCCCAAGCGCTGATCAGCACATGTTGGATAATCTAATAGTCGAGCATCCCCTCACCAAATCTGAAGCACCGCGTGGCTCGAGGACGCCAGTGGTGATGTGTTGCTTCGGAAACACCCCCGTCGATTTGACAAAGCGCCAGTCCATCTCGGGGAATAGGCCGAGGCTAGCAATGGTCAGTGATGTGATATGAGATTGCGAGAGCAGAGGAGCTTGCATTGACTGCGGGACTCGAATCAAGTTGCTCGCCCTGTGTCGTTAGCTCGGTCAGCTATGATCGTTGGCGAGCGATGTACGCACTCAGGCACAAATATAATGCACGGGCAGCATAGATTAGTCTCTTCTCTTATTCGGCCGCGGGAGCGTGCCAATATCCGAACGCTCCCTTCTGCGCCCCGCCGCCTGCTACGATCGATGCCTGAAGTGGTGAAGCTCTTCTTGACCTGCAAGGGGCCGCCGGAACAAGGTGAGAAGCTCACACGCTTCAAGGCCCGGCCCGACTGGCAAACTTTAACTGGTCTTCTAGCGCCAACGCTGGCGGGCGATGTCGGGGCAAAGTGGATGGATGTCGTGTGCGTGAGTGACATTGGGTGTGAGTCGATGAAAGCTTCTCTCCGCTTGGCCCCCCCTTGCAATTATCGTAGCTTCCCTAGCCTGCTGCTGCGCTGCGTGGCCGGAAGATTATGCGAAGTCGCGCGGACACTCGACGGCTCACCGTCTCTGCGTGCGTGTGCTCATCGCATGCGCCCGCTCATTTCGTGATTCGTGCTGCGCTAGAAATACAGAAAGCTTTCGCCAAGCACGCGCTAAAAACGCGCTAGTGTGGGGCCTACAGTATATACAGCAGTCGCGGGACGTCGAGGTCTGATTTCCCGAGATACGAATCCCCCCCGCGTCAAGCGGGCTCGCCCTGATCCTGCGCGAGCTTGGCTGTTTGCTGCGCCTTTGTTTCGTTGTCGCAACGAGGAGTACTCTGTACGTGCGCGAGCGCTGGGTTCGTCTGCACCGGTTCGAATGTGAGTCGAGAGTGGAGCTTGGGCAGCGCGGAGAAGCGCGCCTATGATACAGGATACACGCGTGACTACTGCACCGGTACCCGAGACTCGAGACTCGAGACTCACTCACTCAAGACTCGACACTCACGACTCTTGACTGCTGCTTATCTCGAGGGCTGATGCTATACCTGCATGCATGCATGCATGCACAGCCGCACAGCTAGTCCCCACGATACAGTGTGTATAGTGTAGATGCAGCAACAAGGCAATTAAGCGGCGCAATTCCCGAAGAGCGATCAAGCTGCAGCGGCCAAAGCAAAGTAGAGATTCAGTCAGAGTCAGGTCCTCGTACAGTGAGCAATCGTAGCGAGACTTGAGTGCGTCGCGCGGCCCACGCATCCAGACCCCGCGCGCTGCTGATTATTGGAGTCGACAAATTGCGTGCGCCAGAGCTGCGTGTTCGCTCGCGATTTGAAAGTGCAAATGCATGGCCACGCATCGCGCGCGCGCCTGACCCGTGTGATGCAGGAAGGAGCGCGGGCGGGGGTAGGCCGGCCGCAATCGAGCGCGCGAAGCACGCGTGTATACAGGCGCGCGCGCGAATGCAACGTTGATTCAGTGATCCAACCGACCCACCGCCCACGCGTGCCCTGCCTGCTCAGGGTCCTGCCTGTTTGGGAACAAGTTTCGCTCCAGCTCGCGCTTCGTGATCTTCCGCTTGCCTTGTTGGACATGTTCGCAGCCATCTTGGCGCTCCAGATCACCTTGGCAAAAAGTCGCCGAGATCGACAGACGCTCAAAGTGTTGCTTCAGGCAGGTGTTGCTCGCCTGTGTGGGAAAGTACAGACAGAAACGTCTAGCACATCACACTCTCCAGCGCCTGCTGGTGCGGCGTCCCCCAGCTCTAGCTCAGCTTTCCAGCGCGACACCTTCCTTGCCCAATTTGATATTCTGGCGACTGAAATGACGGTGAAAGCGGACCGCTGCCCGGCCCTCGCTCGAGCGGGACGCTCGCTTGAACACCCTTCTTTGTGCACACCCGGGACGGTATGCAAGTATCTCAGACCCCGCTTACGCTAAAGAGTCGCACATCACGCTAGTCAGCACTAAGCGCAGGCGGGTTGCTTTGCGGGCCTGACACTGCCCAACACTTCAATTCGTCGACCTTCCTTATCGCCCACGAGACGCTTCATCCTTCCCAGAAGGGGACAGAGTAAGCTAGGAGAGTGCACAGAGCACAGACCTACGTATTTGCTGGGCACTGCGGACCTGATGGGGCGTTGCGTTGCACTTCGCCGTCACTCGAGTGTCGTGCGACACCAAAGCTTCCGAAAAGGTTAAAAGGGGGAGTGACAAGTGAATGAGATGTCGCACCCATTCAGCTCTCCTTCATCCCGCTATCATCCTCTTTCTTCACTTCGCACCTTGCCGCATACATCGAGACATTTCGTCCACTCGCACTTCTTCATTTCGCCATGGTCCGCTTCAACCTGCCCACCTTTTTCGCTGCTACCGCCGCGGCGGTAGCTGCTCTCTCCACGAGCGGCGTCTCCGCTGCGTCCTTTGAGATGCGCGCACCTACCCGCAAGTGTGGTACCACCAGCCCGCTCTCTCCCGAGCTGGAGGCTGAGGCCGCCAAGGTGGTCGAAGCTCACAGGCTCGCCCTCGAGGCCGCTCGCGCGTCTGGAAACGCGACAGACTACAGGCTCAATGCCGCCGCCGCGTCATCTATTCCAGTCGTCTGGAACATCATTACCGACGGCAGCAACGGCGCTTTGTCCAGCTCTGCCATCAACGGTCAGATCAACGTGCTCAACAATGACTACGCAAACTCTGGCATGCCTTACCGATTCTCTCTCTCCTCCACAAAAACCACCGTCAACAGCAACTGGTTCAAAAACGCCTACCCTGGCACCAGCGCCGAGTCCGCGATGAAGAACGCGCTCAGGACTGGCGGTGCTAGCACTCTGAACCTGTACTCGGTTGACTTGTCAGCTCAGGGACTCCTCGGCTATGCCACCTTCCCCAGCGACTACTCCAGCAAGCCCAAGTTTGACGGTGTCGTGTTCGAGTACCGCTCTGTTCCCGGAGGCAGCTTGGCTCCCTACAATCAAGGACGAACCCTCACTCACGAGGTTGGCCACTGGGTCGGTCTCTACCACACCTTCCAAGGAGGATGCTCCGGAGCTGGCGACTCTGTCAGCGACACTGCGCCCGAAGCCTCTCCTGCTTCAGGATGCCCCACTGGCCGCGACACTTGCTCCGGCGGTGGCGTCGACCCAATCACCAACTACATGGACTACTCTGACGATGGCTGCATGAACAACTTTACCGGCGGCCAAGTCACTCGTGCCAGCGGTCTCACTCGCCAGTACCGTGGCGTCTGAACGGCGTGGGATCGCGTTCACTTCTTTCTCTCTGGCACCGTGGCTGGCCACCTTGACGATACACTGCGCCTCCCAGCCGATCTTCCACGGTCATAATAGCTAGGTCGAGTGCGCTTAATGGCTTTCGACGAAATACTTGCATCTTTTAGGATTTGCTCGACCATACACACCTTCTGCCGTTGCTTGCAATGCACATGTCATCTGTCTACTTCAGAAGTGAACCTGATACGAGCTCGTGACCGACCGTACCGTAGCCTCTGCGCGTGATTCTGTTGATTTCGCTTCGTCACGTGTGCTCGAAGACGTGCGGCCACTCAGACTGTTCGGAGAGATTCGAGTCAAAGTAGACGAGTACAAGATTGGCGGCGCCGCGCCCGGGCAGCGTGAGTCTTCCTGACCCATCCGCCGGATTATTGCGGCTCGATCGTGCACGAGCGAGAGTTGCTTGATTGAGCAAGCACTTCGAGTCGGCGCATGATTGCGTCAGCTATTGACCTCGATATTGCCCACCTACATCGACCCTCGCTGTTGCCGCGGAGGATTGACAATCACCAGTTCGAGTGCGACTGAACTCGTGCTCTTGCGTGTGCGTCATCCAGAGATTGGTCGCTGACGACCGGCGAGGAGGTGCGCCTTTGGCGAAGTGCTGCAAGGTGGGAACACACATACAATGACTGGCATTCTTGAGCGACATGCGCAAGCTTCATTCAGAGCGCCGAGGGTGAACGCGGTCAGCTGCGTCGGCGAATCGAAGATCAGGCGGGGGAGGGAAGGAGCAGAGAGACTTTGGCCATGGACAGTGTGATCGGGCACGAAGTCTCGGGACTTTCTTGTCCCTCTTGCACATGCACGACCGGATTCCTGAACTGAAATGTGGCCTTGTCTGCCGAAGATTGCATATGCTTTAACTTTGCTCTGCATGGCATAAGCGGGATAGACTATTGCGCAGACGCCCGACCGACGAGCGAAGACCATTTGGTTCAATCGCAGCCTTGATTGGACTCTGCCCCTCCGTGACAGGCTGAGCGAAGTCCATTCCTAATTGCGAGCCCATCCATTTCGCCACAGGCGAACAAGAGCGCTGGCGGGTCCCTATAGCAAACCAGATTCCGTCATGACCTCGCTGCAGGCACGGGGGACGCTTGCAAGATGCACCTTCACGCATCACTGATCATCGGTCGTCTCGCGAACCCAAGATGACCGGTAGATCTTCGTCATGGGCGAGGTGTCCGTGAGCCCTATAGCGCGCAATGCTCGGTGAAGGCGCGCACTCAGCCGAGCATAGCAATGAATGGAGCATATACCGCCGAACAAGTCTTGTCGCCTGCTGACGTGCGCCCGCGAAGCTGCATGCACTGTCGGCTCCGTCCAGTCACCGGTTCCGACCTGCATGCTCATGCAGGGTGCGGAAATTTTTTTTCGGGACGCGCATTATGTTCCACCTGCGCCGCCAGATTGCCGCGGCACTATAAATCTCCGAGCGCTTGCGCGCAGCATCACTGGCAAGCTGTCCATGGGCGAGGGCTGACGGATGGGGCCGATTCTTCTCTGTGGCCGCATCTTGAGCATCAGTGGCTGCACGGCCTCGCAGGGTAGCATCTTGAGGGGTCAGTTTGGATCCTGAGGACGCCCATGCGGACCCCTTTGCCGTGAAGAGCCTCATCACGACGTCGCTGCGGTATCCCCTCCTTGTTCATGAAAAAACGCACTACACAAGGCGGCGAAAGGCGACAGACAAAGCAACGCTTGGTCTGAGCAAAGCGCAGGGTTGGTAGGCGTGCGTTGGCAAGTCTCGAAGGTTCTCGACCATTTGAGCATCGCCTCACCTACAGCACCTCCGGTTCGCCCGTCGAGAGCTGGGTGTGGTTGATGCGCAGGCGTTGAGAGTCTCTCGGTGACTTCATTGGTGACGTCGGAGGTGATGACGTCGCATGTTCTCTTGAACGACCGTTGTTGGGATAGCTTCGGTGTTGAGCTCGCTTGCTTGCAGGCTGTAGCTCCGCTGGGGCGACGACGACAATGAAGGGATATTGAGC